ATCAGGATAATAATAGATACTCTTTATTTATCTAATATTTATCCTTTATGTTGTACTGATATCCATCCTTTATGCTACCATGGATTCGCCAAATAACTATAGCAAAACAGATTAATAATAGATACATAAAGGATAGATATTGGGATGATAAAGGGATACCGATATGTATCCTTTATGTATTTATTGAACCTGTGTAGAAGATAGAGATGGAATCTTAAGTGGGTTTATAAAAGTAGTAGAATGAATAAGATCAATATAGTTGGCATTAAATTTAAGTTGATTATTAGATTTTCTACCAAAGAATTGGGTAGAAAGAATTGAAGAAACTTCAAGTATACAATGATTAAAAATATAAAAAGAGTTTAAATTACAGTCTTGACAAGGCTTACAGGTGATAGAAGGCAAGAGGATAACAAGTAGAAAGGGATGAGTTAATGTTATGTTGCCAGTGAGTAATAAAAATTGAATTAGATTGATAGAAGACTTTGCGAACTTGACCAATAATATTGTGGCAGGCAAGAACCCAGGGCTTATAAGATTTGTTAATTGAATTAGTTTGATAGGCAAATGAGTTAAGTCCAAAAGGTTGAAAGGAAGGAATAATAGAATGAAAGGAGGAATGTAACAAGATAGTATTTTCTAAATAGAGAAACCAGGCAGGCTTTTTCCCTTTAGAAATATGAGAAAAAACCTTATTAAAAATATGGATAATAAATAAAAATATAATAATTTAAATATAAACAAAAATATAATAATTTAAATATAAATAAATAATAAATAATAAATATATAAAATATAATAATTAATTATTTGTTGATAACCAACTATGTAAATATAAACATGCTCTTGCTGAGTCACTACTTATTCTATTTTTTGATTTGTTAATTACTTGACCTGCAATTAAAAAAAATTGTTCACCTGGAACTGAACTAGCTTAAATACATAAATAACTAAGAGCAAGTTTTGAGATGTTGGATATTCTACTATATGAGTATTTCACCAATCTAAAAGCTTTATAGTTTCATCTACTTCTGAAAATAACCAATATTTGTGAGCTTCATCATTCATTATTTGTGCTTGTTGTAATGTATGTTTTAATTTTTGATAAAAGCTTAAAACTTTTTTAAATACTAATAAAGATGATTGTTGATTAATTTTTTGCCTAATAAAAAACTCTTTTCGTCTATTACTTGTATACAAATTTTTCCCTGCTTAATTATTTTAAAACATCTTATAACTTTATTTTCTACTAAGTTAATCTTGGTTTCGCTACTAAATAAACTTATT